AAGTATTTTGAGAATTACCCTGGTTGACTTGGGTTGGACTCGTTTAGAAATTTAATCTCAATCATAAATGCCAATTCCCTGAGCTGAGCAGTTTAATTTTTCTCCGCGAGTGAAATTTGTGCTTGGCGCCATTAGGAGCAAAGAGTAGGGGAGAGGAGAGAGCAACAGAGCAGAATCATGGAGTCCGAGCGAGCTGCACGCACGCTCCACCAGCTACTCCCGCTCTGTGATCGCCTGCACATCGTAGGGGGTCTTTGCCTGCAAAAACGCTCAATCATTAGATTACCACATGATGCTCGCAACCATCTTGCGTTGTGACATAGCTGCCTTCATCAAAATGTATCAGAGAGATTTATGCAAATATTTTAATTTTTGGGTCATACAGTGGACTGTTTTGGTGGACAAAGGAGGAGTAACGTTTTCGGCCTTTTCCGGCCCCACCTGGATTTTGCTAAATGTTTCATATTTTCAAAGTACTAGTCTTAGGTAGACTCTGTGCCAAATATTAGACCGAACGGAGCCCATGCAAGGGCGCAGCAGCGCCTCAAACCCAAAATCCTGGAATCGAAAAACAATTATTTTTATCGACTTTTTCGACTGTTATCACTCTTCCAGCACATGATTCTTATGTATTTTTTTGCGTACTTTTCGTTTCTGGCCTTTTTAAAGGCCTCCGATAAATTTTAAGGGGCCTTATGGTCCATTGTTGCCATTTTTGGCCCATTTTTAGGGGTTTTTTCCATTTAACACATTCAAAACTCAATTTAATCCAAAAACTGTGTACACTTTTGAAAAGTACGTAAAAAAATGAATAGAAAATGTTCAGTAAAATTTTTTCCTATGTTGCCAAATTTCCGAGAAAATTGGTCCCAAAGTGTCAAAAACGGCAAAAAATCGATAAATCGCCGCGTCTAAGGTTCAAGAAAGTGGAGTACATTTTTCATACTGTACCAGATAACAGCTCTTATCCATCCATACAACATACTAAAATATCATAGTTGTACCTGGATTCCCACGATGTGAAAATTGACCGAGATGTCGATTTTAGCGGCCTTTTTATACTTGAAGGCACCTCTTTTGAATGTTTTTCGACCTTAGTCACCCTCTATGGGTGTGTACTATATGTATTTTTCTACGTATTTTTAATATCTGGCCATAAAAATGGCTTCCTGTGAATTTTAAAAGGCCTAACGGTCCATTGTTGCCAATTTTCACCAATTTTTAGGGTTTTTTTTTCAAGTTTACGTGTATGAAACTTAATTTAATCTAGAAACCGTGTACAATTTCGGAAAGAACGTAAAAAAATACATAGAAATGTTATTTGTACCTTTTCCCTACGTTGCCAAATTTTCGAGAAAAATCGTCCTGAAGCGTCAAAAATTCCAAAAATTGGATTAATCATCACGTCACCCTTGTAAGATGATTCCAAATGAGAGATCATCAAACATGGGCCTTATATCTGAATTCTAATGGAATATTATGAACCCAAAATTTCCAGTCATTCTCAAGGAAATGGCATGATTCTATTTCCGCTCAGTCTCATTATGTCCCACTGACAAAGATAATAATTCAATATTTGGGCCATTGAAGCGTAGCGTGGTTGGTAGGTTGGTTAAATCACCTGTTTTGTTCCAATATCCGTATCACAGCGATGCTTAGTCTTTTAAATCAATAGAGTTATCAATGCGACTGGTTGAGACATGAAAGTCATAAGACCGCAGAAATTTTCAATTGACAACCTGCTCTTAAAGAGAGACAATGCACCTCAAGACTTGTCTCGATTAGATCCAAGTGAAGCACAACAAAAAAAATCAAGTGACTCAACAGACGTAATACACGCTTGGGCACGTCTTGCCCCATTGATACTTGTGAGGCACAACTTCCCTATCTGCCTGCAGGTTTAATTTCGTAGATCAGGGAGTTGTTTAGTACTTCTAAATGACCCTGCAGACCAATCATTGAAATTTTGAGTTTGTCTGTCGGACAAGACAAGATTACAATGGAAGGAATTGAGTTATGTGATTAGTCCGTTACCATGCTTGTTTTCTCTGCCATACCTGTATCTGCAGGCTGGATAATCGACTGGCTGACAGAATGTGAGAGGAGGTGCCTATAGTTCGTCAATTGTTCGACCTGCTTAAGGCATTGCAGAGAAAACAATCCTTACAACTGACCGATAACATACCTCCACTGTTATGGGACGAACACAAATTTTCAACACCCAGCCCCCTAATTTCCATTGCATTCTAGGCTCTTCTCAGTGATCTGTCCGTTACTCTGTAAATACTTACATAAGAAACAGAGTCATTCAATTTCCTAACTGGACGTCTGAATTCCTTCACCTCATGAGCTTTCATATGTCATTGGGTAAATAGTTAAATGAATAAATTATAAATAAGTAGGTAGATTTAAATACAAAAATAACACTTACTTTCTTGCACGTGCATGTACAATTCAATACGAATACATGATTTGAGCGGGAGCGGAAATAATATCTGAGAAAATGTGGGAAAATCTCAGGCCAATAAAGCTGAAGAGTTGTTGTTGTTGTTGTTGTTTGTTTAGGTGTTGGCCTGTTGGCAGAGGTGGCCCCGACGAGACGCGCGCGCGGTACCCCAGTGCCTAGTGAGAGTGTATACGGGTTACGGAAATCGCTCCATAGTTTACGAATCATGACCGTCCACAACGCACTGCCAATTTTCCGCGTGCGCGCAATCAGCGTGGTTCCCGCTTATTTGAAAAGTCCCGCGTCAATTTGAATATTTTGCCAAGCGTTGTACGGAATTGGCGGGAACCAATGGGAATGGAAGTTTTCACTGATGATCGGTGACTGTTCGGCAACGGAACGGTTTCCCAATCACTGCAAATTGTAAACTTTTTAGTAAATACGTGTATTGAAAGGTTAGGTTTCTGTTTAGATCCCAAAATTTTAGTAAAAAACACTATTCCGAATTACATAAGCATTTATTGTAGTGTTTAATTCATCTAAGACGTAAATTTTTGTTGAACCATCGTTTTACTACCCTTTGTAATCTCTCATTGTGCTAAGTTTTCAATCCAAATATGGTTATCATTGTCTAATTAGGATGTTATCATGTGATAAGTAGCTCTTGTTTCACTAATCCCTCCTTTCAAGTGGGGATTTTCATCTAATTTTCTTCAAATCTACTTTTTAAGCAACTGTGGCGTTATTTGAGCTCCAAGCACAATGTTCAAGAAGTTAAAGGATAAAATAACGGAGGAAGTTAAGCAATCACCCTTAAAATTTCAAGCATCTGTTCAACAATTAGCACAAGTAAGTATCAAAATCCCTCTAGATTCAATCAGTGAATAACTCGCCAAGATTTTGTAAACATCTTTCGTGCGTAAGAATTTTGGCCAACTTTTATCAGCATGGAATATTCAACCATGGCCTTTTTGTGGCCCTACCTGCTCCGTTGGGAGGAGGGTGAAAATGTAGGAGTGGATTTTCCCTAATCAAGTATTTTGTTTTTTCTTACAGGCTGTAGCACCTTCTGTCATAAGTTCCACCTCAGAGGCTACATTAAATGATCACTTTGTCATTTCAGAAGATGACTCTGGTAAGCCATTCCTCTTGTGTGAGTTTTCAACTTGTTCATCTTGAGCATTATTTCAAGTGTAATTGTTTTAAGACTTTGAAACATGGATGGAGATGTAGGTAAATGTACCTAGTAGTCAAGAAAATAAGTATGACAGTATCTCTTTTTGATTCTTTGCTGTTTTTTTTTTGAGATGAAGTAACAGAGTCAATTCCAATTCTTTCAAGATCAAATTTTTTATTCTAATATCTTTTGTAACGGACACAAGGTAAGTATGCTAAAAGCAACAGAGATGGATTTCTGGAGGATGTCATCAGGAATTTTTATAAGGGATTGAACTTGTAATGAAAGAGTGGGTTAAATCTCTCAAATTGAAAATTTCATTCTACTGGACATCATGACCAAGCAGCTTGTCTGGTATGGTCATAGAAGCAGGATGGCGGAAGAAAGGCTGCCAAAAAAAAAAAAAAGCTTGATCAGGACTCTCCTGGGAGGAGACAAAAGACCCGCACAGAGAAAGAGTGGTAATGCAGGGTTGAAGATAAAATGTGGGAGTGCCAGCTTCCAAAAGGCCTTTGGAAAAAATTTTTATCTGAAAAATCAAGAATCCCTCATTTATTGGAACCTAGAACTAAAGTCTGTATGTACGACCACTTCAAACGATACTTTGATTTTCCAACTGAGAGATGATAGTCTTGAACAATTTGCCTGTGAAATAGTTCATAATGCTTTCTCCACAAAATGTAGAATGTTCTGCAGGGAGTATTTTCAATTCATGTAATTATTAAAGTCAACAAGTGATAGTTTCTACCACTCTCAGTAATTATAATAATTTTCTCTTTTATGTTTCCAAATTTTTGAGTGGTTTTAGTGAATAAGTGTGCTCCAGTTGAAAATTGCAACTTTTGTCATTCTTTATTGTTTTTGCATGACCGTAGGAATTTCTCAAACAGAGCAATCTAAAGACAAGACAGAGTTCAGGGATGATGATGGAATGTCAACTTTATCTTTCTCACGAAGATCATCACTGTCATCAGCTACAAATGATTTGTTCCCTGTTTATGAATCGCCTAGTGCCTTCAATCAATTTCAGGTTCGTTGATTTCCTGGAATTTCTTGTGCAAATGTTTATAGCGCAACATTTTTTCAAAATCACCTTTAATCCTCTCAAAATTTTCATCTGCCGTAGGGAGCTGTTGAAAAGTGCACTGTGAAAAGACCTCTGACCAAATTGGTCCAGAATAAATTGCAGAGACTTAGTAAAGTTTTTTTCTCACATCTCATGCAAAATTTTACCAACAGACACGATGGGTTACAAGGGATTCCTGAGCTTGGTACAGTAGTATCTCCTGAGCTGGCAATGTATATTCTCAGTACAGAATTTGATGTACCCAAGAAAAATTATCGGAGGTTTACCTCTGATAAGTCTCGTAATCCTTGATGGAATCAGAATTGCTCCATCTAAATCTGCTCAAGTTTTTCTGTTGTGCTTAGCAAGAATTTATCTCAAATTTTGCTAGTTTTTCTTAAGCATATCACCTACTTTAAAGCTAGGCAGCTTTCATTTCTACATAATTTGTTTAGGATGAAAAGTTTGGGGTAGGGAGTACATGTTTTGAAAGAATGAAGAATGCACATACTCAGGCTTCTTTTTAACGAAGCGTTTTATCTACTTAAAATAGATTCTCAAAATTTGGGGTGAAGTTTCATGGTTTTTGCCTAGCCTGGCCGTTCGATGATAGGATAGAAGTAAGTGTGCACATAAATGGCATGCCAAGCAATTTGAAGTTCATGTAAAGAACACATGCCTCATGGTAGCCACCGCTCGTGTGTTATCACAACTTAGAAAAGTGAAAGGTTAATAAATAACCAATATGAATTGACTAACGAACTTAATGAATGATCAGTATGGAAACTAGTTTCTTCAATCAACGTGATCTTAAAGTGCAGCTAGCTCTGTGAAAATTCTTACTCTCTGTTAACGTGTCAACATCGATAGTGAATGCTTTGTGTCATAAATTTTCCTTTGCTGTCCCCCCTTAATTTCCTTGAGTGATTTTTAAAAAATTCTTGGAAATCCTTAGAATATCTTTATTATACTAATTTTGCATCTTATAAAAATTCTTGCTTTTGGTTTTCAGAATATGTGCACGTATATATAACCATGCCCATGGCATAAATTTCTGAGATAATTTACCACTAAACAACTGCATGATTGATTGCAGGATTTGTAAGGTAGCCACTAACTATAGATCATTTGGTGTTGCTGTATCTAATCAGACTCTTTTGCCTTTTCTAGTCTGATCTTGAGTCAAATGCCAGCGAAGTTGAGGACTTCTTCACAAGTTACCAGTTGGACCACATATCTAAAGAAAAACTGTACCACACATGTCGTAAGATTCAGTCTAGGTATCAAAAATACAAGGGGCGTTATTCGGATTTAGTGAGGCACTATAAAAAGCTAGAACAAGAAAATCAGAAAGCGAAAGTAAGTTTTTCAATGTAAATTTTCTTTTTGTAAAGTTCTAAAATTTTAAGTTTTTTAATCTCCCAATCATTTAAAAATTCCTAAGAGTCACTAGCGAAGCATGAACCATTGGCTGTCAATATTTTTCCATTTGAAACTACGGTAAAGAATACATTATCAAGGTGTTCGCAATGATCATCTTGATAATCAATCTTTTTCCACAGGTTTAAAAGGCAGATTGATTGATTTATCGCAAAGTGTGCAATGCCATTGTTCAGGGTACAAAAATAGCGTAACATGCCATGCATTTATGTGTATCTTGCAAACATTCAATTTAACCTTCATTAATGAAAATGTTTGCAAGGTTGAAAAAAATGTGATAGTTGAAAAAATTACAAATAAAAAATGTGGGGAAAAAAGAGTATTCTCATCATTAATAGAATGGTAGAATAGTGCTTGGTCCACACTATTTTGAGAGAAAATCCAAGTTAAAAGAAACTAAAAATTAGAATTAGAGTTGTAGTGAACGAGAAAAAAACACTAAGAAGTGGCCTGAATACCGTATGTAACAAGGTAGAGAGATGGTGCTGGGTCCACACCATTTTGCAGGGAAATCGAAGCGAAGAAGTTCCAAAATTTTTTCGAATTTCTTGGCTTTGATTTCCCTGTGAAATAGTGTGAACCCAGCATCATTTCTCCGCCTTGTTGTACTGAACTCTAGTGAATTTCAGTGCAATACAAGGGGGGAGGGGGAATTCAGCCCTAGCAGTTACATTAAAGATACTTTGCCGGGGTCTTAGTGAAAGACTGATCCCGGTCTCATTCTTTTTAAAGCCTCTCAGTCAGCCATGCTCAATCAGAACACAGCATGCCCCTCTAAAAAATCCTATACAGGATTAAATTACTGTTATGGATATGTTGCGAGACATGGCTTTATTACGGTACAATCTTGGCATCATATGCCATCTCTGTTGAACAATTCTGAAGGCAAAATGAGGAAAATTAAAAAAAAAGGATTATTTTATGTTCAATGTTCAACTGAACTTCATTTTATTCGTGGTTTATTTTGACTATGTTTTCCCCTCAGTGTTGTGTGGACCCGGCAATATTCCATCATGTGCAGTTTTTTACAGCATTTGGGCCTTATTTTATTGGAATTTTTTTTCTTATCATCATCGACTTTAAAACTACAAACCAAATTAATAAATACATGAGGAAACATTATTCATATAACAGTTCAGGAGGTCATGTTAGAATGCACACAAATCAAGTGATAAAATCAGATTTTAAATCATAGTTTCTCATTAATTTGAAGTTTTAGTATCCTTTTTACCTTATGTTACATTTTCAGTCAATTCTTAGCGAGACGCAAGACAAGGCTCTGAGAAGAATTGCGGACCTGAAAGAGCAGTGTCAGTTGGAACAAAAAGCCAAAGCGCATTTGGAAGAATCTCTACGTAATGACATTGAGGAAAGGGATCACATAATTAACACATTAAATACCAAAGTAAGTATAAAATCTAAGAACTGTGAAACTCACCAAACTCAACCCTAAAACTGTGTGGTTTACCAAGCTTTAACCAATTAACCTGCAAAGTGGCAAACAAGTAAAACATTTCTTTAACTTTCCTATCTAACCAGATGAGTGCACATATGAGTCTGTAAAATTCTAAAACCCCAAGGAAAGGAAGGTATTTCTGTAATAGGCCAGGAAAAATTCTGAATATTTGCCTTGAAGGTTCGGCAAAAATATCTAAAAATTTGCACTAGAGCAGATTTTCCAGGAAGTGCACAAGACAAGTCTTTGAAAGTAAGATCCAGGAAAATCAATTGAAAATAAAGTACTTTTCTTCCTCTTTAGAAACTAAAAATTTACCCATCTTTTTTTAAGGGATTTCGGACAGCACGAGAAGCCACAATGGACCATTACATAAAATATGTAGCATAAAGTTAACCTCGTTATCAATGAAGTAAATTCAGTTGATAATGAGATAATTTGGACTAACCAATGTCATGACTGACCAGGCAAAATTGAGCCAAAGGTCCAAATAAAGTCTTGAAAAACTGAGGAAAATGTCAGTTTTTTTGCTTTAATTTCTGTAGACGAAAATCATAACTATGCACTGATATTTTTCCAGATTGGCTACCTAAGAGACAGCAGCGAAAGTGGAATAGAAACAGAAAGCCTAAGTAAAACAAACGGAAGCTCAGAAAATTTATCTACCTCTCCTGTTGCTACATTCCCTCCTGTTTCATCTAGTGGAGATGCAGCACTAAAAGGTTTGTATATTCTGATGGAATTTTTTCCCCCATTATGCCCCAAATCTTCCAATGCTACTAAATTGTTTGGCAGAATATTCCACCTAGCTAATCTTTCTAATTTCCATTTTTTTCTCATTTAGAATTTTACCCTCTAGGTCACATTGCCATTTTATAATTTTACTTATTTTACTCGCCTTTTTGCGCTTTTTAGCATGCACTTGTAAATGAATAAGTAAAGAAATAGTCAACTGTACATCAACAAAACTAACTAACCACTTGTTTCCACTTATGATTTTGTAGAAAAGATCAAGAATCTAGAAGAGCTCCTTCAAAAATCCAAAGGAGTGATCATCGAAAAGATAAACACTATTAAGGATTTAAACAAAGAAAACACCGAATTAAAAGTGAGTCTTCTCGTTTTGTTTACTTCACCTTTATGCCTTGAATCTTTGTCTTTCCAGTTGTTCTAAACCCTTTATTTTTACTCATCTGTGAGAGCATTTTTTTCTTGAGGGAAATAAGGTTAGAATCCTACTCATTAGCCCTTGTCGCTGTTTTGGATGATTAGCCATGGTGCTTGAATGCAATTTTTTTAGAATGTGATGGGCCAGTTGCGCTGGCAACAGAATGGTGTTTTGATGCTTGATCCTTGTAGATTAGCTAAAAATAAGAAGAACTGTCCCAACAGCAACTTCCTACATTGAATATTAACGGAGTTTTTGTCTTTGTAAAGTCGGGTTTTTGACGTCATCCAACGTGCATGTTATGCACAACCTCGATTGACAACGTCATAAATCGGTTTTTCAAGGCGCGATATATCGGTTAATATTCAACCTAGAACGTTGCTGTTTGGACAGATATTATCATTTTTAACTTATTTACAAGATTAAAGCATCATAATATGGTTCTGTAACCAGCACAACTGATCCATTTTTGAGAAGTAGGGTTGAAAAATCGGGATATGTATCTGTAACAGAACGTGCTTTATACTATTCTAAAAGAATACTTTAGAATGGTTAAGATCATTTAATTTGCCAGGATTTTCTTTAAATGATCTTCTTTCATTCTTAATTTTATTATTCAGAATATCTTTAATCATGAAAATTAGATGAAAGTCAAGAAAAAAATGTTTTTGGAAAATCTAAAAGAAAACCGAGGCATATAGAAACATGACATGAAATACACCAAGACTTTTCCTCTCATGAAATTTGTACAGCCAGCCTAACAACTTTTAGGAAAAAACATCGATGGTCATTATGAGAAATCACTAATCTGGACTGCAGTGCCACAAAATTTCTGTTCCTCTTTTATTTTTCTTGTAATGATACGGTATTGCTTGTTCTGTCAACAGAATATTATTGAAATTGAAAGTAAGTATATAAGTCATGGAAATTTCAAAAAAATTACGATGACTATTTTTCCGAGTATGAAGTAGAGATGGTTGGATAGTTGGTAAAGTCACAAACTGAGTTAAGCAGTTTGCAAGATTAGCCATGAATATCTTTGAAAGAAATATCAAGGAGTTTGAGGTAAATTTGTTAATAAATAATAGAAGTTGACCCATCCTTGGTTTGGTAAAAAAAAAATCAAGGCATTTAGGTCATAACGGTCGGGAAAAACCTGCATCTTTAATGGTTCCAACAACTGCCTTCTTTTAAAAAATCTCTTTTTCCCTTTTGTTTTCAAAGTCTGATGTGAAGGAGTTGGCCACTGTGAAAGATAAAGTTGTCTCACTACAAAAATTAGTTGAAACCCTACAGAAAAGTGAAGAGGAAGCTGCCATCTCAGCGGCTGAGACCAAGCAATCTATATACTTGGAATTAGAAAGTAAAGAAGCCCAAGTGAAGAACTTGAAAGAAACTCTGGCAAAAGCTCTTCAAGAAAAAGCTCGTTTGAGTGACAAAGGTAAGATTTTGAATATATTTTATACATGCCGCACAGCATGGACCCATCCCTCCTTTTCCCCGCTTTTCAAGGAGGCGAGAGGCAAATTCAACCATTCGATGATCAAATCTAATGTAAACTAAATACATATGTATATATTACCAGCAGCATAGAAGCAGGAATGTAGAAAATATGATACATCGACAATTTAAGTCGGCAATCACATAACTCAGTTTGCAACATCGCAGACTTCCTGTCATACTTTATTTTTTAAACAGAAAGCTACTCAACAGCAATTCTTTAAAACCGTCACGATTTTTCTTCTTTGTTTGAAGAAAATTCTACATAAACTTCAAGGAATGATGCCAATTTGTTCCCCTCTTAAAAAATAACATAGAGGCAGAAATTTTCAGACACCACAAACAAGATGTGTGATTGCGGATTGTTGACACGAGATATGTGACATGCTGTGGGTCTTGTTGTGAAAATTAAAGGCATTAATAAGATACTTTGCCATTTCTTTAGAATTTTGATCACCTTTCTGAATTTTCAATCATTTGCTCCAATCCTCTGTCAGTTTACAGGGTTATTCAAAAGTCACGCACCTCTGGCCATGAGGGGGGGGGGGGTGGCCATTTGAAATTTTTAGTTGCCCCCCTTCCCCTGAGGGGGTCAAAAACTGGAAAGTACCTGTAAAAGTTTTCCCCTTGATATGAGGAAAAACGTCACAAACTGCAAGTCGATATCTTAATTAGAATTAAATTTATGGCCAGTAGTGCGTGACTTTTAAATAACCCTGTATGTGTATTATTTAAATAGAGCAATTCAGAGGCGTTTTTCCTAGACCTAGCGAATTTTTTTTTATTCATTCCTATTTTAAGCAATCACAGACATGATTTTTTACATCAACTGCATGGAAAGTCTGTAAATTCTATTTTTACCATGCTCTTAAGAAAGCATGTATGTATAAACAGATTCTTCTGAAGATTTTTATACTTTTATGCATTTTAAATTACAAAATTCAAATTTACTTGTAGAAGTTCCAAAGTAATTTCCTTAATCTGTGTTCCAGTTGCCAATTTGGAGGCGAGTATGCAATCAAGTGAGGACATAGCAGTTAAATTGGCCAAAGCTGAGAAAGAATTGGAGAGAAAATGGTCTGCAAAACTAAATGCGTCAGAAAGTCATTTTATGCGATTGATGGACGAAAAGGACCGATTGATGAAAAAATTACAGGAAGAGAACGAATTGTTGCAATCAAGGAAAGTTGAATTTAAGCCCGAAAAACCTGAAGACTTGTCAAAGGAAAAGTCTTGTAAAGATTTATCTCTGAACACCACAGAAATTGCTAATTTGATGGATGGTACGTTGAATATTAACTCAGGAAATGATGTCAAAAAGCCAGAAGGTGGCGACAAATTGTTGGTGCCTCTTGAAGACGAATTCCTTCTTTCGCCTCCTCCAGAAGATAAAAAGTCTGTATGTGAACTGAAAAATATAATTGAACTTCTCAAAGGAGAATTAAATGAGAAAGAAACCAAATTAAGGCATATAAATGAGCATTCCCTCAGCAATTCAGCAAAGTTAAATTTATCCATTGAGAAGGTCAATCAAATGGAAAGTGATTTCCGATCCAAGCGAGAAGAGTGGATGCAAATGAAAACTCAGTTCGAAAAACAAATTGAAGGATATTTGTCGGAAATAGCTAATTTGAACTGCAGTCTTGAAGACTTACGAGTACAAATAAAAGACAAAGAAGGAGAAGTAACCAACTACAGCGCTACAATATCCGATTACCGGCAAAGTTTAACAAATTTGAAGGAAGAACTGGGTTTGAAAACCCAAGAAAATGGAAGCCTTAGAAGTGAAATTAGTGAGTTGAAGAATGAGCTCACAAAATACAAGTCAAACCACCTGAAAGCTGACCAATTGGAAAAGGATTTTGTCTCTCTTACATCGAAATTCGAGGAGGAAACTTCCAAATGTGCGCAAATAGTCTGTGACTTAAATGCAAAATCGGAAGAACTGGAAAATATACGAGATAAGAATTCAAGCCTCAAACAAGAAATTGACCAGTTAAGTAAAACGGTTGAGGAAAGAGACACTTCTCTCACTGAGTTGCAGAGTTCCTTGTCAAAGGCAGAAAAGAACTTTGAAAACGAAATGACGTCGTTAAAAGGGTCAAACAATGAACTCCTTTCGAACCTGAAAAAATTGGAAGGTTTATTGTCCTCAAAAGATGATGAGATTGCAGGTCATAGAAATTTAGTCACGAATCTAGAAAAATCAATTGCATCATTGAAGCAGCAGTTACAAAATAGTCATGATGAATCACAAGTAGAATTACTTCGGGCTGAAATTAAAGATTTAAAAAATAAAAATGAAAGTGCTGCTGCAGAACTTCAAAAATATGACCTTACATTAAATGAACTTCATGTTAAACTGCAAGATTATGAAACAAAGCTGCAAGAAGCAGAAAATGCTAAAAAAGAATTAGAAAATTGCTTAAAAGACAAGAGCAAAGAATATCTAGAATACAAAAACGAACATAATGAATTTTTGAAAATAAAAAACATACTGGAGACAAACCATTTGCAAAACCAAAAGCCAATTTCAGAGCTTATCTCAAATTTAGTGGAATCAAACCAAAGTGCCTCCCACAATGAAGAAGCCTTAAACAACCTTAGATTAGAGCTGGAAGTTTGTAAGAAGAGCAAGGAAAAATGGCAGCTAACTGCTGAAGAGACGAAGAAAGGCCTGGCTATATTGAAAGATGATGTTCTCTCTCTGAGAGCTGAGTTTGCAAAAACATTTAACAAAACTAAAGAGAATTGTTTTAACTTGCTAACTGATTGCCAGAATTACACATTAAAATTTGTAGAGAAGAAGAAAAGATCCTTCGATATCATAGCAAGAGAGTTTGAACATCGTGAAAGCGAATTGAAATCTATTCAGTTTGAGCTGTGTGAGAAAATCAAAGACATCAAACATTCTGTTAACTCCAAAAATTCAGAAATAGAAGCTCAACAAAAGAGAATTTCCGAGTTGATCGCCAGGGTCCAAATTTCAGAAACGATTACAAATGATTACTCAGAGCGAATCAAAGTATTGCAGGCGGAATTAGTTAGTAAAAACAAAATAATAGATGCTTTAAAATCTGATCAGAGTAACCAAGAGCTAAGTAATATAGGAGAAGAGCATTCCGCAGAATGGAGTCAAAAAGAATTAGAGATTGAAAAATTGAAATCGGAAGTTGCTGAATTAAAAGAACAGTTGAATTTCAAAAATAGTGAGGTAAAAGATTTTCATGTAGGGAGCATGTCAGTGGAATCGGAAGCCATCAGAAGTGAGTGCAAACAGCTGAATAATGCATCAACCCGCCATTTGCTGGAAAAATCAAGAGAAGTTGAAGACGCTACATCAGATCTCTCATTAGTAGAAATTGAAAATCTAGAATTACGTCACCAACAAGAAATTCATGAAATTGAAAAACGCTATGCATCTCTTTTGGCGGAAAAATACAAAGAGTACGAAATTTTGGAGGCTAAATACCATGGTAATTATTCACAAACTTTGTCTTTGTCATTTAGATATCTATAACTGTTTAGTCATATTGTCCTGGGTTTCAGGAAAAGAGATTTTAAGTTTATAAATATAAAATTAAGATAGCAGCTTCACTACCTGACAAGGATGATTTCAATCATTTTAAATTTCGTCTGAACTTCACTGGATATCCTGCGCAAAATGCATCTAAAAATCAGGTTTTAGTATTGGAAATTAGGTTGCAATATCCTAACAAGACAGTTAAAAGTCTGTGCAGTCCTTTCTTGTTAAATGTGTCTTGCTGCACAATCGAAAATCTCCATAGCTTTTTCAAAATAGACTGATAAAAATCATGCCAGGTGGCCAAATGGATCTTAAAAGTTTGAGGTGGAACCTGAACATTGACTACAAGGACACTAACAAGTTCTAGCAATTACTGTTTTTTAGCATCAAGTGTTCAAATGAAAACCAACGTCAAGAGACTTGTCAGAAAACGTTTATATGTAGGAACTGTCCCCTGTAGCTCTTCAAATTGTGAGTGGAAACGTTATATAAGTGGAAATGTGTGTGTGTTTCTCTAAGTTTCCCAAAAAAGTAGATGTCAGTGAAGAATTTTGCTGAACAACCCCAGGAAAGTTCTCATTCTCAGAAAGAAGAAAAATCTCCACTTTGGTTTCTACATTCCACCTCTTTTGTGTTTAAAGGCTTATGCTGCCATCGGTGAAGTAAATAATGACCTCAATATTCTCTTAGGTTTTTTCTAAGTATGTACATCACTAACTGTTTTTCGTCTGAAACAGGAATGAAACTATTCTTCAATAGAAAGCTATCTTTCCACTCCTGTAAAAAGTGGAAGTTAAGTTTAACAAGCACCTATTAATCAGGCAGTCTTTTCACGTGAGCAGTCAAAATCAGTCATCAATTTAGGTTTTGGCTTCATCAGATTTTTATATTTGTCCCAGCATCACATACAATATCTTACTTTTGACACCTTTTTTGAATTGATCAGTACTCTGCTGTTTCTAATTTAATAAATACAGAATTCAAGATAATACGAAGAAAAACTTGGTGTTACCTACCAAATCCAAATACAAATTAGTCATTTAAAATGCATGCTATTTAAGTTAAGAGGTTGTAACTAAAATCAATGCAACTGCATTATTTCTTGCCCAATTTCCCCTTATGCTTTATTTTTTAACATAAAACAATATTCTGCCCCAAAATTTCTCGAGTATTATGATATTTTCTTCGTACTCTAGAGGAAATTCTGAGCCACAAGCAATATGTTATGTGTTTAATGCACTGTTACAGAGCAAGAGTTGGAACAAGAAAGGCGATTGAACAAGGAGGTTCGAGAAATCATCAAAGATGCCAAAGAATCGGAAGAACTTCAGAATGAACAGCTGGATGAATTTCGTTTGCAGTTGCAACAGACAGAGAAAGTAAGCATATGTTATTTTGTTGTTAATACATTGCTCATCCATAATGAACCGTCTTCGTCAGCTTACTTAAAAAAACAACATATCTGCTATTGGTTTCCCTATATAGATAGATGCCTTTATGAGTATTTCCATTCATTTGTTTCCTTTCTGACCCATGCTGTTCATTTGTTCCATTATTGTTTGACTCATTTTCAATCCTCATTTTCATGCTTTCAAATGTCTTGAAATATTCAATTACATATCAACAGTGAAATTTTGAGACAGTAGTCAATTACATACTACATATGTATGTTTTTAAATTTCTTTTCCAACTTTATTTCAATGAAAGAGACCAAATATTTTGGTAAGAAATTCCTCTACTATACTTAAATTATTAAACAGAATCTAAGCTGGTGCAGGCTTTATTGAGCTATTTTGTCATATCATCAACCGAACCACTTCCTTTTTCGGGTAGGCGCCTCATATCTCTTAGTAAGCACATAATCAGTACATTGGTACTGTTTACAAATTATGTGTTAAAAATAAAGTTTCACTTTCTTGCAATAAGAGCTGTCCCTTGGCTACTGTGCAAAAATGAAGTACGTATTAGTATAGCTAGTTGTCCAAGAGCTGACACTTTTTCCATCAAGAAATCTTATTCAGCATTAGTTATTTCATTAAATTGACACTCAAAAAAGTAAAACCTCCAGAAATGAGTTGCACATATTTTATTCATGACCAAAACAATCTGCCACAAAATTACTTTCTTTCGCTTCCTTTATTATGATTAGATAAGGGATTAGGGACTAACAAGTAATGATAATAAACTTCCTCAGAAAGTATTAACCTAATTTGGATTGTTATTAAAACATTTGTTAAAATAATTTCAGGAAGCTACCTCGAAAATTGAAGAACTAAAACAAGCACATCTTGTTGAGATGAATGCCACTATCAAGAAATGGAAGAATTTCCTCGACAAGAAAATTGCTGAGCTTGAACAGAAGCACTGTGATGAAGTTATGGCATTAACTAGAGAGTGGCACCAGGAACGAAAGGTTTGCTTCAATTTTAATTCTTTCCAATGTATCTTTTAATTCTTTACCAACTCAGGATTCAGGATCTCTTTTCATTTATATTTTAAAAACCATCATTAGATTTATTTTCTCTCTTCTTCATTTGAAACTGTATTTCCATGTTTTGTTTCTTTTCCTTTTCTTTTTTCCCCCTTTTTTATGTGTTTACTGAATACATTTTTAAATGACGTGAGCCTTTTTTATAAATTTTAAAATTCACTTGTAATTTGAACAGTGAGTCGAGAGTCAGAAAATTGACCTTGACCAAGTAATGAGATATTGAAAGTCTTCAACTCAAGAATTTCAACAGAGAGTGTTGAAATATCTGCATGATTTGGACACAATCTTTGTACCTCATCATTATTTCACTGTTTCTACCACCAAAGAAAGTTCTAGGTATCCAACAATAGGATAATAATTCAATAATAATAATTATTACAATAATGACTACCTATGAAACTTACAATAATGATTCTCGCAGTCTGTTTTTCGCCCATTTTTTCTTTTCACTACTTACTTTCAATTTTTTTGGTTTGTTTTTTCTCATGATTAATAGCTTGCTTGAGCTCCTACATTTTTCCTCAGTTGTATCATTTCTTAATTTTGCAGTTAATATGACTGATTTTTACCAAAATTCTAAAAATTTAATGCAATATTTTTGTGTTTTGAGACTAATTTATTTATTCTGTATTTCTTTCATTTTCAGTTTGTTTTTAAAATTTTTTTTATTTGTTATAATTTACCTGCATTTTTCTTTGAATTATTTTATAAATTTTAATTTCACCTTTTCCAGATTGATTGTGAAAACATTCCTGCAGCGAATACAGTTTATCAGAAGCAGGTAATTCATTGTGAGCCATAAAACAGAAAGTAGTCAGAGCATCAACCAAACTACGCACCTCTTGCAGTAAACACATCGAAATGCACTATAGCAGCCTTACAACATAACAAATGAACATTAAAAAGAAAGGGAAACAATCTGGAGACGAGGCTGAAAAAATAAAAACTTAAAATCTAAAACAAACAATAGATATTTTATGCAGTTTCCTTGGCATTATCAACGATAATAAACCAGGAAAATGTTTTAAAAGACCAAGGCTGAAAACCTGACTCATTTTGACGAAAGCTTGATAGAGAGGTAGAGCAGGTTTAAAAACTTGGCGTCCACTGAGATAAATAAATGACGATTCAAGAATGACATTTTACCAACAACAGGGCAGCATGTGTTCTAATCTCATTTTATGCGGAGTCAACTGAGTCTTCAAATTGTCCGAGTAGACTTCTGTAAAATAATACCTCCAAAATCACTCATACAATGAGCTTCCCTTATAATTGAGATTGAAAATGATTTTGACATCTCAAAATTACCTTTGCTTACTGTCCCTTATGTAATTTGATCCACAAATTTTGTTCCGGTGGGAATGAAGAAAAATGATTTACTTAATATTGGAGGGCTGTGGCTATGTGGAGATTAAAGGGTTTTGGAACAATTATACACTTCCAAAGACTCATTTTTTAGAATGTTTGGACTTAATCCTGAATGGCCCTATATTAAGTGCTGTCAAACTAAACTCTCATGGAAAAAAAAAAGTAATGGGTATTAGTTAAGAAATTCTTGGGAAAAAAGTTTTAAATTTCTTATTGACTCCCTTTGTAATAATGCTTTCTCTCTATGTTTGATTTTAGGAATTAGAAAAATTAGCCAACTCAGCAGGAGCTGATTCCGAAACCGTCGAGTCCTTGCACATTCAACTGAAAGCTCTGAAAAAAGAATTAAATGATGAAAGGAGTCTCCGCAAGTAAGATTTTTTATTTGTTCATCGTCCTTGCCTCTTTATTTTTACAAGTGAGAAAAACCTTTAAATGATTGAGACATCCGAAATCTACAAATTTTGTTCTTTTGTCTATTTTTTGGGGTTCAAAAGTCATGTATGAACACCTCATCAAGACTCTTAAACACAGCTCTCACTGATATAAATTCTAACATTCTGGCTTTTTCTAATGCAACCTCCTTCAGAATATTTTCCCACTTAAAATAATGTTTATTTCATGCTAGGCAGTACTTTCAAGTGGTCTGACTTCATGGTATGAGAAGAAATGATGGTGAGTATGCAAATGATAATGTAGAAGCAAGGCTGAGACTAGTTAGAGATGCAGGAAACTTATTCAACGGAGTTTTCGTCAAATCCCAAGGAAAAACCGGCAATTCTCCAGGGATAGTAATGCTGATAATGTGAGCTTTAACTCAAGTGTATCATTGTTTTATATAAGCGAGAAGTTTAAAATGCATAAAAAACAAAATTATTGTATAAAAAACACAATGGGCCTGTTGCATGCAAGAGATATAGCCGCGCGAATAGACTTTTTAGAGGTTGAATGACACGAAAAGTACGATGGTCACATTAAAAAAGTCTGAAATACACTCCTTACTGCGCAATTTGCGTTGTTAGGAACGCGCTTTTTCAAATTTCCCGCGTCTGGGGGCAGTTTTCTAATCACCGGAAACGAGCAAACGGCGGGCTCGGTGATTTCCGGAAGATGTCGAGTCGTTGTTGTTGTTGTTGTTATTTTTTCCTTCAGTTTGTTTACAAACCCAACGTGATCTCTTATAGGTGGTCCATATACGCTTTATGCAGTAACCAAATCGATCAACTTTTAAATATCCAACGCAATCCTTCTACATTTCATTTCACGATATCACGAGCTCCGATTTTTAGGTTATGTTGTCAGTTTTAGTTGACCGGAAATAGCCGCGAGTTGCCGTTAATTGTTTCAGTTAGAAAACTGCCCCCAGATGCGGGAAATTTGAAAAAGCGCGTTCCTGACAACGCAAATTGCGCAATAAGGAGTGTATTTCAGACTTTTTTAATGTGAGCATCGTAATTTTCGTGTCATTTAACCACTAAATAGTCTATTCGCACGGCTGTATCTCTTGCATGCAACAGGCCCATTAATGCTTGAAAAAACATTAATATCTCAATTAGGAGTTATTTCAGTAATTTTTGTTGTACAAATCATATTAGACGTAAAATTTAAATGAGAAATCATAGATTATAATGCTTCAATTTGCACCTTGTCAATTCATGTTTTCTCTCTGAAATTTTTTGATCCTTCAAATTTTGGTCGATTCCTAGTTGCCTTATCTATTGATTTATTATTTATTTTGCAACTAAAGTTTTCGCTGTAATTTGTTTTTTTTTTTAAATTAAAGGCACGAGGTGCAAGAATTGCAACAACTCCTCTCTAAGAAAAATTCCCTTAGACAACCAAAAGAGTGTATGGAGCAAGACCTGGAAGATTGCACCGAAATGGAATACTTGAGGAACATACTGTATGAATATATGATGGGTAAAGAACCCGTGGTAAGTACCGATGAAAATCACTAATTTGAGTACAGTCATAAGCTCCACTAAAAAATTGAGGAGTTCTTTGATGAGAGACTGGTAACTAAAACATGTGTGTGAGAAAAATGCCTTCAAGATGGTGGAACTGTATTTGTTTCTTGTTGCTACCATCTCTTTTTTTCTAATGTATGAAACCTTTTAATGTGATCGCAAGATTTTATGCATCTAGTATGAATCATTGTTGGACAGCCTAGCTATGTTTAAAAAGTCTTATTCGCTCTTTTACCTGAGGCAGACTTTCTTACTTGGGACCCAAAGATGTTTCATGTATGTAAAGGAAACTGAGCTGTTTTTTTTATTTTGTGCTTCAAAAGAAAATTGGTCTCTGATCCAGAGCTTTGTGACTCTAATCCTATCATGTATGTCAGTGACATTTTGAAACGCTTCCAAATCTTCCACTTTCTTTTTTAAACGAAGAATATGAGTCTCACCGAACTTTTTAGGATTTGGGAAATTTACATCAGTATTCATCATGATCATGAAATTTTTGTACTTTAAATCATGTATTAAAGTAACCTTTAGAATCAGAAATTCCTGTAAAATAAGGGTTTACCCATGAAATGGGGATTAGTTTTGGAGACAATAATTTTTCAACTGTCGTGAATACAGGTGTATATTTTCCTGTTTTCAGGTTCTCGCGCGTGTTCTGGCTGCTTTAGTCAAGTTTGACTCGGAGCAAACGAGTAGGGTATTACAGAAAGAGGAACAACGATATACTCTGGTAAGTTTTGCGGTTGACAAGTAGCCAAATATTTTATTTTATTGAAATTGAAGAAAGTGGATTTCAAATCATTTTTCAAATATCCAGCCTTAAGACCCACGAAGTGTTTGATGGTCATTAAACATTAACTGGCTATGTTGGCAAGATACGACAAGACACAGCCTGTCTGTGCCGTGTAATGTATCGATTTTCGATTCTTGTTGTGCGGACATAAATTTCTACTATCAAGCTGCTGGGATTAGCTCAACATTTTTTGTTCTTCTTTTTTTGAGTATTCTTAAAATATTCATTTGCACGGACTATCACCAACACATATGTCTCAATTGTCAATATTTTGGCTTTTTTTCACCTTCTTCAATATGGTCACATCTACTCATATTAGGCAACACTCAGTTGAGGATTAAAGAGGGTTCTCTTTCAAGCAGTATGAGTCAAGCTTGTAAGAGAGGAAATCAGAAAAAGCATGATGCCCTGATTTTATAGGAAAATTTCAAAATTTGGAACAGAACTTATCTTCTTTAAACTGTTTAATAGACTAAAATTTATAGTGCAGAAGGATGAACAGAAATCCTTCCTCATTGCCTGTTATGCGTCTTTCGATTGTCAAACTGCAATGAACAATTATTAAAACCCTTTTAAGTTTAATAGCATTAAATAGTGTGAATATTCAATTCTAAATGCTTGTTTCTATTTTCATCCATGCATAAACTTACAGATCACTGATGCTGAAACTTAAATATGGTCCTTTGAAATTTTAAATTATCTGATGAAAGTACTCAATCCAAAATTAGCGGGATGTTTCGTTAATCTGAATTTTTCCATGCAAGTACATACTTTCTCTCAGTCCACTTCAATTTACTGGAAGCTCAAGTAGTTAATAATATTTATGTGTAATCTTATCAATGAAAAAAACTGATCTCAATTTTTCTTTGTTTCTTTTTTTGCAGTTGGGTCAACTTGGAATGTCGTGATTATCTGTGAATACCCTTTATCTTTGAGACACATGTAATAAGGATACAAAGGAAGACTTAATGCTGAAGGTATCATTAAGCTGGTGCTAACCTCAGAGTTAACTGGGAAACTATCATTTCTCAAACTAAATACTGTCCACTGTATAAAAGTTTTTACCTATAGGAAATGCCAGAGTGAACAAGAAGTTTCATCACCAAAAAAATCTAGGGAATTTAATAAGTCTGTTCTCAGAGATTTTCCTTTTTTTATTGCATTTATTCCTCTCTACGTTTTATTATTTCTGTTCCCTTAATTAATTGTTTCTTGAAACTTGTAATTACTTTCAAATGTCTGTCAAATTGATTCTCATTTACTATCCAGTTAAACTGAAAAGTTGTGATATATCTGTGCAATATTTAAAGACAATAGGAGAGTTTTATGAAAAAATGAAAAAACTAAATCTCATTAATTTGAAGGCAAAAATGGAAAAGAAAGCAATTATAATTTGGATTTTTTAATTTTCCTGTCTCTGATGAGAAAAATGTCACTCTCTCTTAAAATGAAATGAAAACTCAAGAAACTCATCGATCGTCTCTTTTTAAAGTTTTCCTCTGTCAATCAACAAATCGACGATAAATAATGATTCTTGTTTTTGTTAATTCACACTTCCTGCTCATTAAAAAACTTGAGTTTAATCGAGTCAAATCAAGCACTAAAATGATTTTGGTATAATTTACAATGGAAAAAATTTCAAGTTCACCCAATTTTTTTTACAAGATTGGAAGTATCTCACAGCAGAGCAGAAAATAAGTGTGTGTAAAATCAAGCTCTAAACATTTGCCTAACATACAGGTTCTACTTCTTAATTTTGGTCCACCTTTATTATGGTTTCTTTGTGAGCGTGAAGTTAGAATTTTCTGTTTCTTCCTCTCTTGTGAGTTAATTTCACAAGTTTTCGATCTGTTTAATGTGCTCTGTACAAAATTGTGTTCAGAGAACATTTGTTGTAGTGCTTAATTTCTTATTCTATCCAGTGGTCCATGATTAATTGGCACATACCAAGTTAATCTGATTTGCAACAAAAGTACACTTTCAATCCACTGAAATCTTCAGCTTCTCTGAACTAAAACTATTCCTTTAGTTTCAGTTGTGCGTCCAATGTGTAAGGATAATGAAATTGAAAGTGTAAATCTACTGTCAGCTCTCCGCACACAATGGTCTAAGGATCTATGTGTATTAGCACTAGATTCATACTATCAAGCTATCTATCATTGAATTTGCTGCAAGAGCGGGCAAAACTTTGCCATTTGAATACATTTCATGTCTTACCTATGCTTCAAAGGCTTGATTTTTTATTCTGTATTATTTACTTGATGTTAGGTAATTTTTATTTTAGGCGATAATCAACGTGGGAACAGATTCCTAAACCATGAGGGTTAAATTTTTTTTCATCGCTTCAGCTATTGTATTTATTCAGAGCTATGAGTTCTTTTCTGTATGGTTATTTACCTACTGTACAACTGTAATCACCGTATCAATGATATTGATAAAATTTTATAAATATTAAATAGGTAACTCCAAGTTAGTATGCATATTACTTCTATTTCGTAACTCTTCTTCTGTCATTTTGTCATTGTTCATTTGTTTATTTATTAATTTATTCTACCTATGCTTTATTTTTCGAAGCTGATCCAAATTTATTGTTGTACCTGATAAAACTGTTACATAATAAAACTGTGTTTGTAATTTCTAATCAAGAGTATACCCGTCTCCAGTCAGAGATTAAAAGTATTAATCTTGTCATTGAAGTAGAATACTCTGCCTATAGAAAAGAAAAATCAAGGCAGTTCTCCAGAAATTACATTGACTAGTTTTCCAAAGAAGAAATAAAGTATGATAGAAAGTCTGCAATGGCGCATACGGAGGTATGTGGTTTTGCACTTAAGCCAACACATATTTTCTATCTCTAATCATTAAGTCTGAAATTGTGACTGCCAAGAATAAATAATGTACCCTGATACCTACAATGAATCAATCTATAAAATTAGAAGGGAGCTTTTTTGAAATTGGTCCACCAGATCAGGGAATTTAATGTTTCTATTTTTCTGGCAACCCTTCAAAGAAATACTCTTGTGATTATGCAGCCTTTATCAGTGCCTAAAATTCAATCCTTTAAAGAAACCACCTTTCCAATTGAATTGGGACGTGCGAAAACTGCTAATGTTCATTTTGCCAGTCTTCAGTTTTTTTGAGTTTATAATACTCTTCAGAGTTAGTTGCAACCTTGAAAGTGGCATTAAAACTCGTCTTTGGGTTTCCTCAATCTCAAAACGAGTCTTTTCATCACTTTTATGGTTGTATCAACTCTTTAAAAGTATTATGAACTCAAAAAAACGTAAGACCAGAAAAATGGACATTAGTGGTTTTCGCTTGCCAGGATTCAATTATTTTAACAATCTCTATTCGACTTGCAGCTATAGGGTCCGACTTACAATTTTGCTGCTCGGGGCTAACAATTATTTGCTGACACCAAATTTAGAAAGTGATAACTTTTTTTTACTTCTCAGAAGAAAACAAAAAAGTGGTAGTAATCAATCACTTTTGAAATCCGTCACCTGGCTTCAGTAGGTAGCTCGCTTCCCACCACTGTTTCCATGAATCTAGCTTTACATCTTGATGCTTTCTAGCCAAAAAACTTACCTATCCATTTTGTATTGTAAATTTGCTGTCACTTATTAAAGTATAATCGTGGGAAATTAAAAAAATCAGATCATTCCGTAAATAATTTTTAAGTATTTGATTGTCAAAAATAGATGGTTTTAGGTTTGTATTTCATGGGTAGATGAAAATGTCAACTATTAAACATGGGGTCACCAACAGAGTGTGATCTGCTGCCAATTTCAATAAGGAACCAAACTAGTACAGATCTCTTTGTGAAACTTCAGCTTTGCTGCAGCTAAATATTTCATTAATCTAATCAAATCAAATCAATAATCAATCAATTTAATGCAACTGCCTGAGCTGAGCAATCTCCCTCTTGCATTGAAACTCGTCAGATTTCATTTTGTCACACTAATTCTAATTTTTGGTTTTTTTTCTGGCTTTTTACTCCCTTGTAGAATTGTGTGCACCCTGCACTATTCTACTGTCCTAAAAATTATAATTACCTAACTGCATACTCATTTGCAGAAATTTCATAGGTATCAACAAACCATCATTAAATGCTCTCAGCCCATTTATCACTTCCAGCAGGTTGTGCATATGAGTGATGCGTATTTTGCCTATCAACTGGATTACATACATTTTGCGATAAGAAACCTCTAGCTCGCAGGCTCTTTCATAAAAGCACCTTCCTGCTTGGGGAAAGCAATAGTAGATTAGGTATTGTTTCTAAAATGAGCCAGAAATAGGTAATGATTCCTTATTGCCAAATGTAGTCCAACCGATCAAAGGGGCTCCTCTCATCGAAAAATAAAATTGAGACAAGGCGCAGTGCTTCTCTGCATTGAAAACTTCCTTTTCTATCCTGGGAGACATGGAACTCTCTATTTACTCCAATTCGATTGATTGTTTAGGTATTGACATAATTTATTGATAATTTTACATCGTTTAAATGGTGTAAAAGTATCTCAATTTGATGGTTAAAACATTGCAATTTTACTGCATTACTTAAATTGCAATCCTTTTTTAACAATCCTGACTACTTGGGTAGTAAACCTGAATTTTCTAATGATTTTTTAAAAATTTCTGCCGCATGGGGTTTTCATGGAAATTACATACACCTGGAATATCATATTATGTGAGATTTTCATCTCTAGTGAACATGGGGGATCAGAGAGCAAAGTATTTTCACCCATCTTGCCCCAAAACGTTTTACCTAATGAGCGAAATTTTTCAAACTTTCCAAAATGTGCCCCGATGATGATAAATCAGCTAGAAAATCGCCAGGAATTAGTCAATAGTTCACATTTTGGCGGTTTTTTTCTGACCTTCGGGAAAGACCAATAAGAGGGCAGGACGGTATGGAGGGGAGCGACAGGTTGCTTTTTGTTTACATCTATGACGTCACGGGGGTCTCCATTCCCAGCAAGCGTTCAAATCTTCTTCTTTTTCGCGATTTGGCGTTGCGTTCTTCGAAAGTAACAGCGTCTTCCGCAGTTTAAATTCTTAAATTATTTTCCGAAATCTCTTAGTTTTGTTTTGTTAGGGCGTAGACGAACATCTTCGTCAACACATAAGATCATGGCATCAACGTCAAGTGCTTTATGGCCAGGTAAGGCATTGTCAACTTCCATTGAACTATCCACGTCGCCATGCACTGCAGCCTTTTTACCACGCTATCTCTTTACATTCTGACTCTCGTGCATTCTCAGAACTCCAATCCTTCCACCTTGCTGTTCCAACAGCCTACTTGCAGCCTTTCCAAATGCTTCGCTCTCATGGGGGTCCCTGTAGTCCCTTTAAAACCTTTGATTCTGAGTCCCTCACCCTGACACCCTCCTCCCTTGCCGCATCTCACGTTAATAAGTCGTCTTCTTCGCTCGTTTATTCTGTGAAAACTAGATGGAACAACCATCTTGTCAAATTTTTTCCCTGTTAGAAGCAGGCAACTTAACTTGCAGCTGTGGGAGGATTAAAGGAACTTTTTTTCATCGAATTGGTTCCTTGGTTATGCAGAAGAGATGTTGTTAGTTGTCTCGCACCATTACCAGAACTGCTGACAGGAACTTCCCCTGTCCACTGTCTTGCCTCGGTCAATGTCTTTCAAAGTTAATTATTGCAATTGTCCGAGACGTAAGTTTTCACCGTGGCCCAAATCGTAGGAATGCACGAATTTCAATGAAGATATTGAAAGAATGCAATCCACACCTCAGCTGTTAACTCAATGCTTGTTTTATTTTACCCCACTGAAAGCTCATACCAAAATTTGAAAACCAGGTGTGCATCCCTGTATGTAAAATTTTCTCATTGGTCGGAAAATATGTAGCGATTATCAATGAGAGGTTAAGTCAGTCAAGTATAGACTTTGGTAACGCGTAAAGCGGGTGGAGTCCACTCAATTCCTACTTAGAATTCCTGGCCATTGGATAATACGTGTGAGAGTGTGTGAGTAATATCTCCCAAGAACAAAGGGAAGCCGCCGGGCTACGTTNGTCGGAGACGTAAGTTTTCACCGTGGCCCAAATCGTAGGAATGCACGAATTTCAATGAAGATATTGAAAGAATGCAATCCACACCTCAGCTGTTAACTCAATGCTTGTTTTATTTTACCCCACTGAAAGCTCATACCAAAATTTGAAAACCAGGTGTGCATCCCTGTGTGTAAAATTTTCTCATTGGTCGGAAAATATTTAGCGATTATCAATGAGAGGTTAAGTCAGTCAAGTATAGAATTTGGTAACGCGTAAAGCGGGTGGAGTCCACTTCAGATAACTTGTCCTTTTTTGCTTTATGAGCAGGATAGGGAATTCCGTTCACTTACTGTGCATCCAGGGAAATAGGACAAGTTATCTGGACTGGGCCTTACAAGAAAGAGGTTGCATTTTATACCATGTTATGTCTAGAGGGTACAAGATGGGACCACCTTGGTGCATTAGGCCTAAGGAACTCTGGCACATCTCATATTTTTCAGGGGTATGAGAGGACTTAAAAATTCGGTTAGGATGATATCCTGCCGTACAAAAGGAGAATGCCGTATGAGCCTTCAAGCGTTGCCTTATTTCCCACTATATAAAACCAATTTACTGTGAGAATTCTGAATATTTTTCCTCCAATTTTTCTGACAAGTTTGTTCTTACTCAATTTAATCTGTTACATCTGAAAATTTCAGTGAAAATTATGGATAACCCTCCGCAAAAATGAATGTTTTATCTGGAGAAATTTGGTAACAGCAAAAGGCTCATACAACGTCCTTCCCTAGCCCAACAGAACTGTATTCTACACCCTTAAAGACACTGGGTTTACAGAGGGTGCCAATCTCCCCTTGCATCTCCTCTCCTAGCTAAATCTTGAATGCTTGTAAAAAACAGCCAACTTTAACATTTTCTGAAGTCGAGTGCTACTTTATTTATGTGTAGAAAAAAAAATTGAAGATGAGTGTCTAGCGCAAATTAGTGGATTTTTTCCTACTTTTTCACTCCTGAAGATAATCATGATCAGAGTCTTAAATTAATCCGTTTCAAAGTACCTATGTAAGTACTTGTCACCCCGTTTAATTAAAGGAGGGTGACGAAGAAAATAGGGTCTTGAAGTTGGTTTTATGAGCCTTTTTTAGTCGAAAAATCATTCCCAGCAACAGTTATAATTAAGAGGTTTGGATTTTAAATCAATTTATTTCATCTTTGGCTTCAGCTTATCTCAGATTTTAAATTTCAGGTAAAGACAGGTCCATGAACATCTAACAAAATTTGAATTAATCTTCCAGAATGGATCTTCTAACAAAATATTATCACTGCAAAAGAAAATAGGCTCTAATTTGGTATAAAGTTACTTATTTCTGTCGAGATGAAATAAGATCTGTCAAATTGTAATTTTTCAAAATTCTCTATTTCAGTGTCAAATCAACTTGATTGCTTAGTCCGTACCGTTTCACTGACATCAATTTTAGGATAATAAATGCATAAATAAAATCATATTTTTATTTATGAATGCTCAAATTGAAGAAATTTGTGAAATTTTGGGGATGGCGGAAGTCCAAATACTGATGAGTCTTGGCTTCTGATACTTGCTAGAAAAGCCAAGGCTTATGGTTTTTGGACCTCCAGCCTTCTCATGAAAGTGTATTCAATTTCTGTCAGTGCTTTTGGATTATTTATTTATTTTATTTTTTTTTTCAGTTTCAACCCAAAGAAAAAGGAAACTGTCTCAGGATGACTCCGGAGATGGTAAGTCTTACCAGTGTGTCCTGGGCTACTAGTGTTTGGTACTTCAGGAGTGCTTTAGTGTTTATGAATTTTGCATTCTACATCTCAATTCATGCACAGCTTTAGAGGATGGAAGAACAAAGTTATTTTAAACATAATAGACACTGTTCATGTTAGACCATCCCTGAAATTAGAATGTTAGAACTAGCAGTTGTAATAAGAATCAATCATAGCAAATTGCATGCTACGACAACTTTCTATTAAGATCGAAAATTTCTTAAAGCTGAGAAATAATTTCTTAAGATCTGTTCGCCCCAAGCCTATAAATTCCAGTATTTTTAAGATGGCCCGAGCTTATGAGAAAAGACCAAAGTACTCAAATTTCTTCATCAAATTAATTTTTGTAGAAAGGAGTCATTTTGTAGTTTCTGATTTGAAAGAGGACAGTTGGTTTCCTTCCGCTCATCGTGATGTAAATATGGAATATGAAATATGCTGATTGTAAAACAAGAAAAACACAACCCCATCTTGATGACCTATCTCAGCTCATGGTTTTTGTCGTGAGAATTTTACATGCTATCAGCAAATTTTCTAGGTGGAGAGGGGGAGGAGGAATTGTCCAAGCTTCTCTGCTGCGAAGTCATTTCATGCTTAAGAAATCCAGTGTGGAATTTTATCCCCCCCCCCTCCCTCAGGGCTCAAGTACTCATTGAAATAAATCATGCTGCATTTTTTTGATTGAAGAGGATAAGAGTTTTAAATTTCTGTAGTGTAAAATTTGAAAGAAATATGCATAATATTTGCCAACCAGGTAGTCAGCTTGACTATGTCAATAGGTTCTAGTAAGAAAAATTCCAGAGAACTGGAGATCAATTTGGCAGAAACAGATTGCACTCAACCTGAATCGCTGAAAATTTAAAAGCTATGTGTAATTTTGATATCTTTGTTGGGCTCTGCCTGGTTTGCGGGGCTGTAAAAAGCAAAAAAGTAAATAAATTAAATTCTGAAAAAAATCAGAACTCTTGGCTGAACTTATCTCCATGAAAGATATGACTTTCATTAATATCTTTCTGTATGCAAATATCTCCTTTTTAGACTAATTACCTTGATTATCTATCTTTTAGATATCTCAAGAGTAGAAGGTGAAAAACAAATATTTTAAATGTACAATGTTAACACCTGTCACAAAAGAATGATCCTAACAAGGATAATGATCAGTAGTCTGCGTAGCTGTCAAATGTGGTGCAGACTTTACAATGACACAAATAGAGATAGTTAGATTTTTTCTATTTACACCAGTAATGTATAACCTCTGTCATTTACATATTAAAAGTAAATAGTTTCTCTTCTCTTGGTTTAACTAAGAGAAAAATTAAATTGTTGTTCAGAAAATCAGAAAAAGTTAGATACACTTGTGTAAAACAATTTTTTTTTCTTGTTGTTCGCTTTTTTTTCATTGCCATTATTATTGACTGATCTCTTGATTTTCTTTTCTTTTTTTTTTTTTTTTTGCAGAGAGTGTCATCAAGTACTACGTCACCCTTGAGAAGGAGGAGGAAGATGATGCATTAGCTAAGGAGGACACAGGGTCTGAAAGTATATACACTATTCAAGACAAGTCCACCAGTAAGTTTCAATATTCTTGTCATGATTTCATCAGGTTTCTGTGCCTTTTAATGAGAAAAATGTAGAAAGAAAAGGAATAGGCAGTGAGAGCTAACTCTCTATGAAAAATTTTCTTCAGCTTACTGGAATGAAATTCAAGTGTCTCTCTTCTCATCACTACAAACATAAATCCTGCTCAGGGTTTGAAGATTCTGTGTGCTATTTTTGGTCATGCTTTAAAATAGCCAACAAGTTGTTTTTTTCTTTTTTCTTTTTTTTTTTTTTTTTTTTTTTATCTGAAGGAAGAATGGTGAAAAAATTTCTATTAACAATACTACTATATCATTGCACTGAACTTAAATGAAAAAGCAAAGAGAGAGAGAAAGGGAAGTAATTGCACGACTCCAGAAAACCATTCTAGAATTACTCAATTAAGTACCTATTCAATCTAAGATTTTTCCTTGACTGGAACAAAAAAAAGACTGAATTAAACTTATAATTTAAGTATTACATTAAAGTCTCTAGATAAACTATAAATCAATCTCTTTCTCTTCCATCAGTTTTACAGGGTATAACAATTGAACTGATATTTTTCTAAAGGGTCCAAGTGCCTAATTTCTCGTCTTGAGAAAGACAAGAAAAACTGCCTTTCGGCAAGTGCTCAATTTTTTAAGACCAACGAATGTACATGCCCATAGAGGATGTGTTAAAACTGGGCTCAAAAGATTAAATGCAGTGGCACACTTTTCTCCATTTTTTTTTTTTTTTTTAGACTTTGAGTTTGGCTCTTTGGCATATAAGAAAAATGTTGATTTAGATGAGGTGTCCCATCCTTACTCTTGATCAGAGCTGCACTCCAGCACCACACAACACTATGATGTTGCAAATAGAAAAGTAGTTGGGCAAAGAATACATCAATATATCAGAAGCAAATCACTGTGGGTGAAGAGAAGAAGGGTGGCCATACCCTTAGAGCAAAAGAAGGGAGATTCCCTGCTACAGATGGTTACAACCGTTTCCCTCATAGAGAAAAAAAAGGAGGTGTTTGCATCTTGAGGATTGTGTACCCTGTGACGTAGGTCAGTACAACCTGGTCAGCAAAATCCGGAATTTCGGAGTATAAAGAATGGACCGTAATGTCCGATTTTTTTGCTTAAATCAACTCATGATATAATTTCAAACACTTTTTGTAGAATGAATTTTTCCATAAACTACTCAATTTCCAAGAAAATCGATGATAAAAGTCCCGGTACCGACCTACATCATCAAAAAAACTCTTAGATGCCGGAAATGCAACCACCTCCTTTTTTTTCTCAATGCGTTTCCTGCCAAAAAAATTTCAACAAAACAACCCCAGTTAAAGTAGTTTGTGAGGTAGATCCTTATTTTCTTTGAGCAACTTCATTTGAAGAAATAACACTGGTTTTTTTTTTCATTTTAATTATTACAGTGATAGTCTGTGATACAGATTCAGATTGGTCTGAATCAGACATCGAGTACGACGTCAAAAGCCTGGATCATAATCCAATTCATCCATTCATGTGGGATAATAACTCCTCAAGTTCGGAAGAATCGGTAAGTCCTACAGATTTTCTAACTGGTAAAAATCATGCTCTCAATCAAACAAACTGTTACCAACTCAATAACTTTTAGCTTTTTTCTCCATTCCTTGAATGGAGATGTTGCATGTGTAAGGAATTTACAATTTGACTATTGAATCTTATGTAAAAGTTAGCAAGAAACACGATGGTGCCACTGGTTTCCTCTGAAATCAACTCCCAAGCTCAAAAAAAGTTCTCAAGTTGAGGCTAAAATGGAGGGGATATCCCACGCTATCCTGAGAGTCCACCTCTACATCAAGACAAACTCTCCATGCAAAGAAAGGGAGCAAAATGCATTAGCAGTGACGCCGTGTTTTCAGTTTCAGAGTCCCCAAACAAAGTGACAGCCCTGTCAATGTATTTGCTCCGTATCTTTGCATGGAGAGTTTGTCTTGATGTAGACGTGGACTCTCAGGATAGCGTGGGATATTCCTTCCATTTTGGCCTCACTTTGAGAGCTTTTTTTGAGCTTGGGAGTTGATTTCAGAGAAAACAAGTGGCACCATTGTGTTTCTCGCGAATTTTTACGTAAGAATCAACAATCAAATCGCAAATTCCTCACACATGCAACATCTCCATTTTTAGCTTTTTCCTCCATCCCTTGAATTCTGTCAATGCTGCCCTTGAACTCAGCACAATTTTGGTTTTTTAATGACACTGGCTGAAATGAGGCTTTGTTCAGACACCAAAAAGCCATTTCAATCAGATATTCTCTTTTTTTTTTAAACCAACACTTATTAATGTATTTGAATTTTTGGAGTCTCTAAAATTGTTTAACAGGTGTGTAGATTGCGCTTGAATCTACAAGATACATCTTGCGGGGAACTGAGTACATTTCAGCAAAGGCAATGCATGTATGAGAATGTAGGAATTGTGCTTGAATGCACGCTGTTCCAAGTGCTGAAACTTCTTAGCCTTTCCATTTTAAAAACCTCTTTTTCCTTAAAAATCTCCAAGTGATGACATTTTCTTTTGCTTTCCATGCGCCAACTGCTGGGTTTTTAATTTTAGTGT